GTGATAATTTTTTGTGAGCTGAGGTAAGTCTGTTGTTGCTCATAACCTGCAAAATGTACGTGTGCTCTTTAGTGCCGTATAACTACGTGTTTACAATAAGAGTGAGCTTATTCACTAGCTATTCGTGATTTAGGCTCACACGTACTACTGTATTGGGAACGACATAGTACAATACGGTACAGCCGTAGGAGTTAACTAGACAAATAGCTACGTTTAACGTGTACCTTAAATTGCGATTTGTTGAGTCTTGGGAGCAATTTGGTTCTCGTAAATACTGGAACGGCTGATCCTCAATGGGGGGAAATAAAGATATGTAATTTAGCCTGTCTGTCAAGCCTTTAGTACCACTGGAAGTGATTCCCGATTACATACCTCGATATGTTTTCGGGAATGACTCGAATGACCCGAATGACCCAAATGACCATCGGCTATTACGAACGTCCCCGGTGAGGTGCGCGACAAAGGACAAAAAAATAAAAACTAGTTTTTGTAAGCGCGCGGTANGTGATAATTTTTTGTGAGCTGAGGTAAGTCTGTTGTTGCTCATAACCTGCAAAATGTACGTGTGCTCTTTAGTGCCGTATAACTACGTGTTTACAATAAAGAGTGAGCTTATTCACTAGCTATTCGTGATTTAGGCTCACACGTACAGTACTACTGTATTGGGAACGACATAGTACAATACGGTACAGCCGTAGGAGTTAACTAGACAAATAGCTACTTTTAACGTGTACCTTAAATTGCGATTTGTTGAGTCTTGGGAGCAATTTGGTTCTCGTAAATACTGGAACGTCTGATCCTCAATGGGGGGGAAATAAAGATATGTAATTTTAGCCTGTCTGTCAAGCCTTTAGTACCACTGGAAGTGATTCCCGATTACATACCTCGATATGTTTTCGGGAATGACTCGAATGACCCGAATGACCCAAATGACCATCGGCTATTACGAACGTCCCCGGTGAGGTGCGCGACAAAGGACAAAAAAATAAAAACTAGTTTTTGTAAGCGCGCGGTA